AGCCAGGTTTCCTGAAGCATTACGACTCCAACCTTTGAATATTCACGTCTCCTTGTTAGACTACTACTTCTGCCATGTTACCAAGCAGGGGGCGCACATTTCCACTGATGACTGCTGGAATGCAGATGTCTGAAGCTGATCGTTTGTGTAGTGCAACCTGCCATCCAGCTCTGTGTTTTCTGGGAAATCTTTTGAGATTTCCGTAAATTCTCCTCTCCCTGTTACGAACCGACTTGCCAAAAGAAGGTAAAATCTGGTGACCAGAAGTTCGAAGTTGCTTCATGAAAACGGCAGAATATTTCACAGAATTTAAGATGACCATAATCACACAATGTTTCTGTGGCAACGAAGGACGTGTATCCCAGATAAATCCAGTGAAGAGTGATTGTATAGTTCCGAGTCCGACACTGTAACGGACCACGCGGCCAATTTCGAAGGCCCCGCCGACCTCTGTCAAAAGTGTGGTAATGGGCATTTTTCATTTAATGAAATCTCAACGTTTTCCAATTTTCAGTTTGAGCCTAACAAAAGAAACCGAAATGAAATACCTTGAAAGATCTTACCTCAGAGCTTTAAACAGAAGATGTGTATTTTAATAGGAAGGTACTAAAAGATAGATTGGTAAAACTTTTCCGTCTGATTTTTATTCTCACAGACTGCTTTTTACTCATCTCCATTCTCCGTCTGATTGGTTTTTAGCCTGTGCCGTCGCCTTGTGCGCCTGATAAATGAGCACGCACAGATGAGCGCAAGTCAGGAAGCCTCAATGAAGCAAGCCCAAAATGCCAGCGCTGCTGCAGAGAAGTGGATGAAGGCGGCTACATCTGAAGATGTAAGTACTATCTCACGTGTCGCATGCTTTGCATTCGATTTGTTGAATCTGTCGGATTTTCATCACTATTTTTCCTCATAGGCCCTATTTACATTGGCTTTTATGTTCTGCAGTGACTCAACTGAGTTTGGTGGACGGTTGGCAGTTTAGATGGTAACGCTGAACTGTTCTTTTAGAATTGACTTAATTTTCAACAGATGTATCTGAACTATCTGACCGATTTGTTACCGGTCGAAAATATCCTCAATCCCAATTTGCTGTCAGCCTCGGTGTCCTTCCCAAAAATTGGTTGTGCTCTTTATTTTTCTGTTGTTTCTATTGTGATCCTAGAAACGTGTGTGATGAAAATAAGTTGATATCGTGAGTCTGAAATTTCCAGTTATAACCACACGCACCCCGCCGCAAATGGGTTCCCTTGTGGTGTTGTGGATCACAATAAAGAAGCTGATTGTTATTCCCTGCGTTATTCGGGTGAGCGAAAACGTTACACCTAACGATGCGATTGTGGTCATCAGGCTATTTAGGCCGTCTGCCCAACATCTCGTAGTGTGTTTAAACATTGCCATTGTCTTTGTACTTTCTTATTTTATAACCAAGTCCTCTTTCCCTCCTGGCTCTTGGGTTTTCATTTATTTTATATCGAATAAAGTGAATTGAAAAGGTCAATCTCATTATCGTAATCCGGTACGCTTCGATCCTCCCATTTCTTTTTGTGTCAATTATCTGTAGTCCGATGCAGTCAAAGAACTGAAGGAAGAAATCGAGGAATTACAGCACCAACTAAAAGAAGAAAAGGAAGGTGAGTAATTCTACCTGTTCATCCTTTAATGTTGTAATATTCTTTTATCATAACGTTGACCTATTACAAATGTATCTGCTCTGACTTGTGCACCTTGGCAATATTTCATCCACAGAAAAATCAGAACCTGAATTCTTTGTTACGGAGTTGTTTTTACGATGGTTTGTTTGTTACAGGCGGAAACCACACGAATGAGGTTCCTCCTCTAAATTACGAACATCTCATTTCTACACTGTCTTTTTCCTACTTGTACTCTCGCGTTGTTTTGCTCTTTGGCTTTCCTCGCTGTATATCGCGAGTCAATTGTAGATCATCAGGGACTTACATTCACTTTTTATCTTGTTTGACGAACTTCAAACAACTGCTTTCCCACTAGGCCCAAATGGTTTGCAATATTTACTTTGTTCCAGCCGGTAGCTGCTGCAAACAAGGTGGGGATCCGATTTACCATATGCTTAAATTATTTGCTGTTTGACCATTGCCCTGCTCACCGTTCTTTATCGTCATTAGGGCCAGTCCATAACAAGAATAGTGGTATTTGAAAAGTCGGCAGTAATATCACCACCTAGAGAATCTTTGAATGATCGATCCACCAAAATGTTCAAAAGTTTTGTGGTGTCTGAAATAACCGCGGACAGGTGGATTGGCAGTTTTCCTTTACTCGAGGCTGAAAATTCCTCAGGTTGTTCAAAGAATGTATTTTGTTTACTCCAAGCACTTATTTAAAAAGTAGTGATACTTCTTGTTCTCATTTTAGATGAAGCGATGAGTTCTTCCTCTAATTTCCCGGAGTTTGATTCAAAACATTATACAATCGCATGCTAGGTTGCTTTAATTAGAGGTTGCGTTATCAAAGATATTGAGATATTTAAATCAAAATGGAGTAATCGATGCGACCCCTTTTGAACGAATCCGGCCAACTGGGGCAACGATTCCCAGACTGTTCGGGTTGCCGAAGGTGCACAAGGAAGGGATACCCTTGCGACCGATTCTGGATATGTGCGATTCACCGTACCACGCACTTGGTTAGCTAAATTACTAGAGCCCGTAAGAATTGGATTAGCGAAACAGCGTACGAGACATTCACTTTTGTGAACAGCATTCGTGACTTAAACTTGATGGATTGGACAATGCTTTCATTGGACGTTAGCTCGCTCTTCACCGATGTTCCAATCAGCGAAACCATCGAATACCTGTGTAGTTATGTACAAAGTAACAATGTTGAGATAAGCCTTCCTTTGGAAGACCTGAAACAACTCCTTTATTTTTGCACATACAACGTCCAGTTCAAGTTCAACGAGCAGATTTATCGACAAAAGGATGGTGTGGCTATGGGATCTCCTCTAGGACCGTTGTTTGCCGATGTGTTCATGGCGAAACTCGAAAATAACCAACTCAAATCTTCCATTCAGGATTGTGTGTTATATACACGATATGTGGATGATATTCTGTGCGTGATCAACACAACATCAGGAACAAATGAGCTCTTGAGCAAATTCAATGCTGCTCATCAGAACATGATATTTACTTTAGAAATGGAAAACGATAACCAATCGGCATTTCTAGACGTCTGTTTGAGTCGTAGATCGGATGGCTCGGTGCAACGATCAGTGCATAGGAAGGCGACTTGGAAGGGCCAATATATTCCTTTTGGTGCGCTACCTAGCAGATAGAGCAAGGAAAATTTGTAGTGAGGACACAATAGAAGAAGAGCTCCGGTTCTTACGTGCTATCTTCACACACAATGGCTATCCAGAACGATTGGTTAGCAAGGGGATTCAGTGCGGTGGAGATATTGTGAAGACCGAGGTCAGAAAGAAGTCGGTATACATTGCCTTGCCGTTCAAGGGGGATACATCAGCAGAAGTAATGGAAAGGAGACTATCCGATGCTGTTAGTAATACCTTCTATGCAGCAAAGCTCAATATTTTGTTTACTTCCCAGCCAATTTTGTGTTTACGACTAAAGGACAAAATACCGGATTCTGTCGTCTCATTTCCGTGTTCCTGTGGAACCACGTACATAGACCGCACGGTCAGGTGTTTGTCCGAACGAATCCGTGAACACCACCCCGAATGGCTAAACACAGGAACGATTAAGTCACTCACTAGTGCAGTGGTTTCACTCCTAGTTGAAACAAATCACACTGTGAATGTGACCGAGGCATTCCGTCTCCTGTATTGGGTTCGTGGTCGATTATCAAGGCAGGTTCGCTGTCGTATGCTAGCCACAGGTGAAGCGGTAGGAATTCGGCTGCACAACCCCTCTCTGTGTGCCCAGAAACAATTTTTGCAGGCGCTTAAGCTTCCCTGGCCCACTCCCTACGCACCCTATATTCCGAGTGGTCCCAACGATCCGATGATCTAACAATTATTTGATCATTGAGAATTCCACATCCGGTCCCAAGATGAAATTAGCCCCAGATAACCCATGAGGTTATCTTCCCCTTCCCAAAACATGTGTTTGCGTTTTTATGGTTGAATACTGATTTATATATGAACAGCCTAATATTTATTGTGATGTATTTGACATAACGACGAATCACTGAGAACGAGCTTGTTCGCCACTCCTTGTTCTATTTGAAATGTGCTCTGTGGGACTGTTTAGACAATTAATTAGTACCCTTGAGTACCTCTATACTGGTGGACGTTCTGTATTTGAAAGTGACAGGACATTCTTCCAACTCTATTGATTTCGCTTGTGAAGTATAGCCAAGTGTTTTTTATGCACCATGCGTTCATTTCACCGCCCGATTATCTTATTAACCATATTGTTTCTTCTCATTTACACAGCTCATGCGGCGGTATNAAACTGCCAGAGAATACGACCGCGTGTCCACTGAATGCCAAGAACTCCAGGTAAGTTTCCAAAATGCTGCATTTATTCGACTCATGACCTTGAATTGTTTGGTGTTCATCTCGGGCACTTAATCACAGCTGGGGCAGCTTTCGCCAATCTGCGACACCTGTGGCGCTGCCTTGACATTCGACTGTCCGCGGTCCGTAGTGTTCTGCTTTAGGGCTACGAGACCTGGGCTCTTCGAGCGAAGGATGCTCATCAACTTTCCTTATTCGACCACCAAAAATTGCTCGTATCTGGTGGCAACATCTGGTGAGCAATGAAGAAAATCGTCGTCGTGTGCTGGGTACTGATAGTGGTTCTTTCACGAAACAAATCGTTCTACTCTGCCTCCGA